ACAGCAGCCGGTTTTTACAGGCGCACAGGCAGCTCTGTATCGGCGCACAGCAGCCGGTTTTTACAGGCGCACAGCAGCTCTGTATCGGCGCACAGCAGCCGGTTTTTACAAGCGCACAGCAGCTGGTTTTTTACAGGCGCACAGCAGCCTTTGTTTTTTTGATAAAAAAACATTAACTTACCTTGAATCCGTTTGAAAAGCGCTAATTCTTGATGCTGTCAATTCTGGAGCTAATGTGCAAAAAATTAAAACTTCTTGTTTAACATTAATATCATTTAAGAGAAATGGATACCTTTAAATGCGATAAATTGCTTGCAATAAATTATTTGATAAATAAAATTTAGTACTAGTTTCTACATAGATAACTTAACGATGTAAAAAGATTTATTTATTAAGATATATATTTTTTATTATGTAAAAGAGAATTTCAAGTTCAACGATATGTTTTAAACAGGGTGTTTTATTTTAATCTTATCAGACAAATATCCTCATAAATATAAAACATACGGAAAGATGTTTCAGATAAAAGTTTTATGACTTCAAGAAGGACATAAGATGGTGCTATTTGTTTGACCTTGGATAGTCGTTTAAAGAGCACATAAAGGTCAATTTCTTACCCATTTTTTTATTGCATTTTCTTGTAGCTTACCTCAAAAGTTTTTCAAAACATTATATAAAATATTTTTTCATTAAGTACTTTTCGAGTTATAAGGCTTAAAATATACAGTACCATCGGCATTAACATTACTCAAGGTATAACGCATGGAAGTTGCATGATCAAATTTACATTTCTATTGTATTTGTGCATACATGCATATACACAGAAACACATCAAAAGTGTAAATTCGACCGTGCAACCTACACGTGGTATACTTTGAGTAATGTTAATGTCAACGATACTTTCAAGCCCTAAAATTAAAAAGTACTTAAAAAAAAACTTTATTATAGTGTTTTGAAAAGCTCTCGAGGAAACTACAAGAAAATGGGGGTTTTCATTTAAGAAATTGAAGGTAATCTTTACATGTGCTCTTTAAAAAACGACTATTCAAGGTCAAACAAATGGTACCATCTTATGTCCTCTCCAAGTCATAAAACTTTTGTTTGAAACATTTTTTCATGTCTTCTATATTTTTTGAGATATTTGCCTGATAAGATTAAAATAAAATACTCTGTAAATCATATTTGAAATATACGGAGTGCATCTGATAAAGTTCACCAAATTTTTCTCGAATATCAAGACTCATCGAAAAATGTTTCGTACATAAATTTTGTGAGTTCGAGGGGAATATAAGATGGTGCTATTGATTTGACCTTGGGTGTAGATTCTAAAATTTTGTAAAAGCCAACTTAGTTTTTTTAATAGAATTACTCTAATTTTTATATCAATCAATTCCTCGTAACTAATTTTTTATATCAATCAATTCCTCGTAATATTTTGTGTAAAAAATTATAAAAGAATGAAATATTTCATAAAATATTAATTTTTCGATAATGAGAGGAATCAATTGGTATTGTTTTAAAGAAATATGTAAGTGCTCCTTGCAAATTCATATTTTTAAAGAAATATGTAAGTGCTCGTTGCAAATTCATATTTTTTTAAAACATTATTTTCTTTATACCAATTGATTCTTCTTATTATTCTGTGCATAAAAGTATTGAGGTAAGATAATTGAAAAATGAATATTTTACGAGATATTTTATAGTTTAAGTAAATTATATCAAATTCATTTAAAAAAACTAGGTTAGCCTTTATATAACCTTGGCACCTACACCTAAGCATTACACTTAAACCAATGGCATTATCTTATGTCCCCCTCGAAGTCATAAAACTTTTGTAAGAAACATTTTTTGATCAAAACCTTGGTTTTCGAAAAAAATGTGGTCAACTTTTTATCAGATACACTCTGTATAACGAGATATTTAATATAATAGATTTAGAAAATATATCTGAGGAAGCAATTTCTTATAATGTACATGGTAATTCCTAATGTTTATGTTCCTAATGTTCTGTTAACGTCCTTAACTTAATATTATTTTCATAAAATTTATTGCAGGAAATATTTAAAGTGTTGTCCATGAAAATCAATGCAATTGCATAATCGCTTGCATAAATAAACGATGTTTTTTGAATAATGTTAGGTGACATTAATAATATGTTCTCTATATTTAACTCTTTTAGATTTTTAGGGAGTACTAAAAGACAATGTTTACAATAACATTCAAAGAATACATCGTTCATTTATTCAGCAATTAAAGATTTGTGTTGATATTGATAAATAACATTTTGAATATCTCCTGCAATAAATTTCACGAAAATAAGCTGAAAATGTAAACAAACTCAGATATTACATATATTATTTCTAAATCTATTAAAATACATATATGTCGTTATGTATCAAAATAAATATATCTATTAGTCTTAAAATTCTTTTTTAATATAATGAAAAAAGCTGATAACCTTGAAACCTCAGAATTGCTGTTTCAGAAGTTGCGCTATTTATTTTATATTTATATATAGTCATAAAATATTAAATTAGTATTTTAAGAATTATCAAAATATATTACGTTGAAGAAAATATATATTTACTGTCATTTTTCTATACAATTCTATATGCAATGCAATCTCAGAGTATGCTGCATTGTTAAATCACTATTTATAATGGTTTGATTAATGATTATTGTCAAAGTATACAATTTTGTTAATATTGTGGAAAGTAATAATATTATAATAAACTTTATAATATTATAATCCCCATTTAAACTGAACAATTTTCGTTAATGCCCATCTTCGTATTTTGAAGTCCAATGAAAATATTCGGCATTTTGCTTTAGATACTACTATATGTACATTATTCTTTTCTATTTTTTTCTTCACAAATTATGTTTCCTAAAAAAGATTTAAATTGTATAAATAAAATCAGAATTGTATATAATGTAACATAGATTTTAAGTTATCATATTAACAATTAAGATATTTTGCAAATTATTACTCTGAGAGTACATTTCCAAATCATCGAGTATAAAATATACAATATACACAATATAAAATATCTTCAGTAAGAAAATAATTGTATACTTTGACACTAATCACTAATCAAATCATTATAAATAGTGAGTTAACAATGCAACATACTAAGAGTGCATCGCATATAGAATTATATAGAAAAGTGACAGTAAATATATATTTTCTTCAACGTAATATATTCTGATAATTCTTGAAATACTAATTTAATATATGACTATATTACAATACCAAATATAATTATATAAATATAAAATAAATAGCGCAACTTCTGAAACAGCAATCAGAAGAATGCATTAATTAAATGTCATAAACATACCTGAACTATATAACTAATTATTATGTTTCTTATTATCTTCTACCTTTTCCTTTTTATATCTTCTTATCTTCTTCTTTTCTTTTCCTTTCCTTCTATCTCGTTCTTTTCTCTTGTTTTTAAATAATTTTAAGTAGCTGAAAAAAGTAAATAATTTAACAAATAATATTATTTTGCTCTAAGAATATGCACATTATTCAAGAACATTTTTACTTTTTAAAAGTCGTATATGTATAAAAAGAATAGCATATTTTCACAGCAATTTAAAATATGATATAAAAGGATATAATATACTAATATACTAATATAATTTTGAAAGAAAAATTATGTACAAATATAATAAAATAAAACATATGTACAAAAGTAAATTATAATAAAACCTTGCATGTACATAATCTTAAGAAAAGTAAATATCTTTCACAATCAATATATATGTCTATGAATTTTAATAATAATTTTTAATATACCTTTCTTTTTATTTTCTTCTTATCCTTCTTGCCTTTTCTTCTTCACTTTTATTCACTTGTCCACTATTACCCACTTATCACATACATTATATGATACGTATAGTAATTAAAGACACAAAACTACCGTCTCTTTTAATATAATGCTGCCCTCATGCAAAACTTATCATAATCTATCGATTGATAATCCAAATGGTAAATAAATCCATAATCGATCATATAAAACTTTTATTGAAATTACAAACTATATTACCGACCTTTAAGGATTACTTATAGTTACGATCGATAAACTTACTTATAATATTATTCATAGATAAAGAAGAATAAGTAAATCTATCAGCGCTACTGCATTTATTCTAGATGACGCTAATAACTGACTTGTATGTACATTGTCCATTGTTCATTGTCTGTGCCTTTTGTTCGAGCACATTTGCGTCGAATCATTTGCGATGAAGCAATATACAAATCCATCAAAAGTAAGCGATAGCAATCGTACATCAACATCAAAAAATAAAAAAGATAACTCTGAAAAAGAATGGAATGTAAGTATATATTTATTATTACCTTTAATAATAATAACTTTGATTAACATGATACTTGGCGAGAGACACATTACTGCGTCTCTTGATAATTCCACTTTTCATTCATTGTTCTATTATTCAGATATCGTGTAAAAACATAAATTATAATTAAACATTTGTGTTTTTGATAGAATTATATATATATATATATATATATAACTTGATACTATTTGTTCTAAAATAATTATTCGTAACTATACTTTCCTGTTAGACTGCTATCTTCTCTACTAAAAATCCATTGTCCATTGTCCGTGGCTTTTTGTTCGTGCACATTTGCGTCGAATCAATTGCGATGAAGCAATCTACGAATTCATCAAAAACGAGCAATAGTAATCGTACATCAACATCAAAAAAGGATAATTCTGAAAAAAAATTGAATGTAAGTATATATTTATTAATACCTTTAATAATATCCACTTTTCATTAATTGTTCTACTACTCAGATATCGTGTAAAAACATAAATTATAATTAAACATTTATGTTTTTGATAGAATTATATATATATATATACAACTTTATACTATTTGTTCTAAAATAATTATTCGTAACTACACTTTCCTGTTAGACTGCTATCTTCTCTACTACATATATTATTATTAATTTTGAAACTACTATTCTTTATGTAATATTTAATATTAGCATTTATTTGCTACCTAATTTCATATTAACAATTATATATTTATTAAAGAAATAGTAGAGAAGATAGTAACGTAACAGAAAAGTAGTTACAAATAATTATTTTACAACAAATAGTATCAAGTTTATATATAATATAATTCTATAAAAGACACAAATGTCTAATTATGTTTCCATTTATGCTTTTACACGATAATATCTGAATAGTGGAACAATTAATGAAAAATGGAATCAAGAGACACAGTAATGTGTCTCTCGTTAAGTATTATGTTAATCAAAGTTATTATTAAAGATAATAAATATATAGCTATATATACAGCTATTAACTATGAATTATTAAAATATATAAAAATATTATTAATTATTAAAATTTATGTGATATTTATAGCTTTTATTCATTTTTTAATTTTATATCAACAATTATATGTTTATGAAAGCATATGGTTATAAAAGGAATAGTAGAAAAGATAGCAGCGTGTAACAGGAAAGTAGTTACAATTAATTATTTAAGAAGAAATAGTATCAAGTATATATACATATATATATATATATATATATATATATATTCTTTATGTAATATTCAATGTCTAATTATGTTTCCATTTATGCTTTTACACGATACTTTCTGAATAGTGGAACAATTAATGAAAAATGGAATCAAGAGACACAGTAATGTGTCTCTCACTAAGTATTATGTTAATTAAAGTTATTATTAGTTATTATTAAAGATAATAAATATACAGCTATTAAATATGAATTATCAAAATATATAAAAATATTATTAATTATTAAAATTTATGTGATATTTATAGCTTTTATTCATTTTTTTATTTTATATCAACAATTATATGTTTATGAAAGCATATGGTTATAAAAGAAATAGTAGAAAAGATAGCAGCGTAACAGGAAAGTAGTTACAAATAATTATTTTAGAAGAAATAGTATCAAGTATATATACATATATATATATATGTATATATATATATATATATATATATTCTTTATGTAATATTCAATATTAGCTTTTATTTGCTTTGTTGATATAAAATGAGAAAGTAAATAAAAAGCTAATAACAAATATCACATAAAAGAATAGTAATTTTTAAAATTAATAATAATAAATAATTATTTTATATATATAATATATTATAAAAATTTATATATATAATATAATATATATATTTTATATATTTTAATAGCTCATTGCAGCGCGCACTCATAGCACTATTGTATACTATATCCCTAAAAAAATTTTATTCTTTTTAATTTTTTTAGGAATTTAGTAGAGAACTTGAAGTTAATTCAGAAAATGAAATGTTAAAAGTGGAATTAGCAGATGTACAGAAACAGTTGGTAAACATGCAGGAACAATTAGCAGCTGCTGTTTCTGCAAATAAATTACTCCAAGAACAGTTGCAACAACCGTCAAAATCGGCTTCTCCACAAGAATTGGCGGACGTACAAAAACAATTAGTAGACATGCAGAAAAACTTAGCAGCTGCTATTTCTGCAAATAATTCATTGCAACAGCAGCAACCATCAACCTCGGCTTCTTCGGAAGAATCATTAAAAGAACAACCTCCGACAAAATCAGTTTCTACGAATTCGACTCCGGAGCAATCGGCTCCATCTCAGCCAACTCTAATACAACCGGCGCCATCGCAGGCAGTTCAATCAACTGTAAAACAAATAAAGTAAGTATATTAAAAAATGTAAGTATATTAAAAAAAAATAACAAATTATAAATATGTAACATTAATATTAACAATCTTTTTATTGTAGTGAAGCAACCTGCTCGCTGGCAACGAGCAGGGAGTCGAGGTCGCGGTTGGGGACGAGGTCACAAACAGAATCGGCAGAACAGACGAAACAGCAACATTACTATTAATATGTAGTAAGTTGAAAATGCCGAACATGTGATGTACACATTCAAAGATACGCATCGAGTCATAGCAGGAACAGCATATAAGCATATATATGTTCAAAGATACGCATCGAATATGCGTATCTTTGAACATATATATGCTTATATGCTGTACCTGCAATGATTTATTTGCAGAAACAGCTGTTAATTGTTTCCGCTAATTGGTTTTGCATGACTTGTTTTTGTATCTGCCAATTCCGTTCTTATTATTTCATTTTCTGCATTTATATCAATTATATAATATGATAGAAATCCATGTGCACAGAATATATATTTTAGTTATCAAGGAATTCGTTATACATACAGATGCCGATTCACCTCTTTGAGCACTGATCTACGCCATATGAAAATGCCAAACAACACATATGTGATTTTTACATTTAAAGATACGCATCGAGTCATAGCGCACACTCGATGCGAATCTTTGAATATATATATATATATCGATATAATATATATATATATATATATATATATATATATATATATTGTAAATACTCTGTGTACATTGATTTCGTATTAGATCTTCTCTTACTTTTGTCTCTCTAATACTTTTATTTTTTTACAATACGATATTATATATAATCTGTTCTTTATTGCTAAACTGGTTGCACTAGTATGCATTAGTTCAGAGTTTATCATTCTCCTATCAATATGGAGAGAAAAAGATAAACTCTGAACTAATACACACTAGTGCAGCCAGTTCAGCAATAAAGAACAGACTGTATAATTATAAGCAATATATTCTTTATGTAATATTCAATGTCTAATTATGTTTCCATTTATGCTTTTACACGATAATATCTGAATCGTGGAACAATTAATGAAAAAAAAGACAAAGTAATGTGCCTCTCACTAAGTATTATGTTAATCAAAGTTATTATTAAAGATAATAAATAAATAGCTACATATACAGCTATTAAATATGAATTATTAAAATATATAAAATTATTATTAATTATTAAAATTTATGTAATATTTATATATATATATATATATATATATATATATATATATTCTTTATGTAATATTCAATATTAGCTTTTATTTGCTTTGTTGATATAAAATGAGAAAATAAATAAAAAGCTAATATCAAATATCACATAAAAGAATAGTAATTTTTAAAATTAATAATAATAAATAATTATTTTATATATATAATATATATATTTTATATCATAGCACTATTGTATACTAAACCTAAAAAAATTTTATTCTTTTTAATTTTTTTAGGATTTTAGTAGAGAACTTGAAGTTAATTCAGAAAATGAAATAGCAGATGTACAGAAACAATTGGTAAACATGCAGGAACAATAAGCAGCTGCTGTTTCTGCAAATAAATTACTCCAAGAACAGTTGCAACAATCGTCAAAATCGGCTTCTCCACAAGAATTGGCGGACGTACGAAAACAATTAGTAGACATGCAGAAAAACTTAGCAGCTGCTGTTTCTGCAAATAATTCATTGCAACAGCAGCAACCATCAACCTCGGCTTCTTCAGAAGAATCATTAAAAGAACAGCCTCCGACAAAATCAGTTTCTACGAATTCGACTCCGGAGCAATCGGCTCCATCTCAGCCAACTCTAATACAACCAGCGCCATCGCAGCCAGCTCAATCAACTGTAAAACAAAAACAGCAACATTACTATTAATATGTCGTAAGTCATTATATGTTGAAAATGCCGAACGACACATGTGATGTACACATTCAAAGATACGCATCGAGTCATAGCAGAAACAGCATATAAGCATATATATGGTCAAAGATACGCATACTCGATGCGTATCTTTGAACATATATATGCTTATATGCTGTACCTGCAATGATTTATTTACAGAAACGACAGCTGTTAATTGTTTTCGCTAATTGGTTTTGCATGACTTGTTTTTGTATCTGCCAATTCCGTTCTTATTATTTCATTTTCTGCATTTATATCAATTATATAATATTATAAAATCCATGTGCACAGAATATATTTTAGTACAAGGAATTCGTTATACATACAGATGCCGATTCACCTCTTTGAGCACTGATCTACGTCATATGAAAATGCCAAACAACACATATGAGATTTTTACATTTAAAGATACGCATCGAGTCATAGCGCACACTCGATGCGAATCTTTAAATATATTTTAAATACTCTGTGTACATTGATTTCTTATTAGATCTTCTTTTACTTTTGTCTCTCTAATACTTTTATTTTTTTACAATACATTATATATAATCTGTTCTTTATTGCTGAACTGATTGCACTAGTGTGCATTAGTTCAAAGTTTATCATTCTCCTATCAATATGGAGGGAAAAAGATAAACTCTGAACTAGTACACACTAGTGCAGTCAGTTCAGCAATAAAGAACAGACGGTATAATTATAAGCAATACTAAATTTATTTTGCGATAATACATGTGATATATAAAATATAAGCTACGTTTATTTTAATCAAAGATACACATCGAGTCATAGCGCACACTCGATGCGTATCTTTGAACATATATATACTTATATGCTGTTCCTGCAATGATTTATTTGCAGAAGCAACAGCTGTTAATTGTTTCCGCTAATTGGTTTTGCATGTCTATTAATTGTTTTTGTATCTGCCAATTCCATTTTTATCATTTCATTTTCTGCATTTATATCAATTATATAATATGATAGAAATCTATGTGCACAGAATATATTTTAGTACAAGGAATTCGTTATACATACAGATGCCGATTCACCTCTTTGAGTACTGATCTACGCCATATGAAAATGCCAAACAACACATATGTGATTTTTACATTTAAAGATACGCATCGAGTCATAGCGCACACTCGATGCGAATCTTTGAATATATGTATATTGATATTTTATATATATATATATATATATATATATATATATATATATTCTAAATACTCTGTGTACATTGATTTCGTATTAGATCTTCTCTTACTTTTGTCTCTCTAATACTTTTATTTTTTTACAATACAATATTATATATAATCTGTTCTTTATTGCTGAACTGGTTGCACTAGTGTGCATTATTTCAGAGTTTATGTTTCTCCTATCATTATGGAGGGAAAAATATAAACTCTGAACTAGTACACATGTAATACTGCAGCCAGTTCAGCAATAAAGAACAGACTGTATAATTATAAGCAATACGAAATTTATTTTGCAATAATACATGTGATATGTAAAATATAAGCTACGTATATTTTAATAAGTACATGTGATATCTAATTATAATACATGTTATATGTAACATAAGAGAGTTACGTTTATTTTAATAAGTACACTCGGCGTCAGGTAAGCCTTAACACATGAATTTATGCACATATCGGCACATTTATATATTTTGCATATACATATATGAAAATTGCATGTGTGTTGATATATACATATATTCGTGTGTTAAAGCATACCTGACGCCGATTGTACATGTGATATGTAATAATTATATGTAACATAAGCTACGTTTATATGTTTAAAAAAGATTACTTTCTAATACTTTTATTTTTTTATAATACGACATTATATATAATCTGTTCTTTATTGCTGAACTGGTTGCACTAGTGTGCATTAGGTCAGAGTTTATCATTCTCCTATCAATATGGAGGGAAAAAGATAAACTCTGAACTAGTACACACTAGTGCAGTCAGTTCAGCAATAAAGAACAGACCGTATAATTATAAGCAATACTAAATTTATTTTGCGATAATACATGTGATATATAAAATATAAGCTACGTTTATTTTAATCAAAGATACACATCGAGTCATAGCGCACACTCGATGCGTATCTTTGAACATATGCTTATATGCTGTTCCTGCAATGATTTATTTGCAGAAACAACAGCTGTTAATTGTTTCCGCTAATTGATTTTGCATGTCTATTAATTGTTTTTATATCTGCCAATTCCGTTCTTATCATTTCATTTTCTGCATTTATATCAATTATATAATATAATAGAAATCCATGTGCACAGAATATAGTATAAGGAATCCGTTATACATACAGATGCCGATTCACCTCTTTGAGCACTGATCTACGCCATATGAAAATGCCAAACAACACATATGTGATTTTTACATTCAAAGATACGCATCAAGTCATAGCGCACACTCGAATCTTTGAATATATGTATATTGATATTTTATATATATATATATTCTAAATACTCTGTGTACATTGATTTCGTATTAGATCTTCTCTTACTTTTGTCTCTCTAATACTTTTATTTTTTTACAATACGATATTATATATAATCTGTTCTTTATTGCTGAACTGGTTGCACTAGTGTGCATTAGTTCAGAGTTTATCTTTCTCCTATCAAAATGGAGGGAAAAGGATAAACTCTGAACTAATACACACTAATGCAGCCAGTTCAGCAATAAAGAACAGACCGTATAATTATAAGCAATACTAAATTTGTTTTGCGATAATACATTTGATGTGTAAAATATAAGCTACGTTTATTTTAATAAGTACATGTGATATGTAAACATGTTATATGTAACATAAGCTACGTTTATATGTTTAAAAAAGATTACTTTCTAATACTTTTATTTTTTTACAATACGACATTATATATAATCTGTTCTTTATTGCTGAACTGATTGCACTAGTGTGCCCCACACAGCACATGTAAATTCCGAGAATGTTCTGAGAATATCACAAAAGTATATTGCGTATGTTCTAGGAACATTCGAAATACATACTGCGATATACTGAGTATGTACTAAGAATGCTACTATGTCCGATTTTTCCTACTTCTCAGTACATACTGAAAATATCTTTTAGTATATAATAAGTATATCTATAGAATGTCTTGAGTATGACATTGGTATATACATAATATGTACTTATAATGTACTAATAATATACTCAAGATATTCTATAGATTAACTTATATTTTATATATAAATATAAATGATATATGTTACCGTAAACACCCCATATCCGTTTTTTCATACTTACTAGTAAAAATATGCAAATTTTGACTACTAATAATAAGTATACAGAAAAACAGATTTTGAATGTTTACAGTACATATATATAATCCATTTATATTTATATACTATATATATAAATGGATTATAGGTGTAATATATTGACATTTTGTTCACATATAAAATCTTTTTATTCAAATTTCTTAAATGCTTAAGAACAACTCATACTGCAACAGTATGAGTACGTGAAGATACGTGAAGAACAACAATCTGCAACAGTATGAACCTCATAACCATTTTGTCTCAAGTCAATAGCTGTATTTTCTACGCAGACATGTGTTTCGACGCCTATGAGTATAATGGAGTCTGGTTTTTTCCAAATATGTTATAATATTGCACATATATACATATTAATAAAAGAAAACTTATTAGAACAAAATTGTGCATAATTTGAAAAATGAATAAATCTAAAAAAAAGCTACTTAAATTTGAAAAATGAATAAATCTAAAAGAATATCTACTTAAAATAAAAAGGACGGATAATCATCATTATAAACGTTATCAACAATAACTCAAAACAAATTATAAATTATAAAGATTCAAGAAAAGACAAGAAAAACTCAACGAAGTACTAGTTTAATCCTTTTCACTATTCAATGTTTGTCTCTGCATACGCTCTTTGGCATGAGCCAACCATATTTTTATTGGAGCTGAAATCTGTTCATCTGTAGCATTAATGTGCAATTTTCTTACTGCACCTGAAAAAGTTTTTAAAATTGTTTGTGAATTATTGATAAATAAAATTTCTTTAATTTTTTTTTATTTTTAAGTTATAAAAATTGAAAAAAAATTTCGACTTGATTTCTACAATATATCTATACAGATGAGCGTTTAAACCTATTAATATATAATAAAACAATTGAAACATTTCTAAGTAATTTAATAAATAAATAAGTTATAAATATTTGTAAATATATTTTTTGATTTGTGCAGAAATTATACAGCATCTAATAATAAAATAGAAAAATTGTTTTTAATTTTACTTACTCATAATAACTTTGCATATGTGCAATTTGGAAAAATTTTCTTTCTTTTTTGCTCCGTACCAACTATAATTTATGGCCAGTTTATTTGCAAAAATTATTTTCATAAGACGTATACAAGAAGTCCTCAGATCCTGGCATGTAACATGGACTAATTGTTTAACCTAAAATTGTTACAAAGAATGGAATTATTAAATATATAGATATTATAAGAAACTTTTATATAATAAAATTATCTATTCACATGTAAAAATACTGTAAATATATATCAATTTAATTATTCTAAAAATTATATAATATTTTAATAAAAAGTCTACGAAACTTATTAAAACATCTTTAAAAAGACATGATATAATTTAAAAAATAATATATAAAATTGCTAATGAGAGCAAAAGTTATAAATGTAAAAAAAATTTAATAATATTCAGATATTTATTAAATGATAAATGTTTCAGCCCATTTCCGACCATTCTCTTTATAAAAATAATTTAAATTAAAAATTAAACAAAAATATATAATTATCAAACGACATACTTTTATACCAGCATGCACCGAGATTTTTACTATATACTATTTTCTAACATATGTAAATAATCGTGTACTTTCTTTAATGCTAATTAATTGTAAAATTAACGCTTGTGTTCTGACTTCATATTCAATAATAATTTAT